CTTTAGAACCAGCTTAGTTCAAAATGCAATGTGATTTAAGCCGAGCTGACTTTGGGCTGAGGTGAGTAGGAGCATTTACGCTGTCAGTTGTTAACACTCAGCTAGGGGAATATTCATCCCTTGCCGAAGAGCAGTCACCTCTTAAAGCACTCCAACTAGATCTGGAGGAGCTCAGCTGTTTACAGTCTGCGTTACCCCAAGTCAGCAATGGGGAACAGAACTGAACCAGGTCTTGTAAGGCACTGGCAAATTAACTTCCCACTGAATCATTTTTTTCCCCCATGCTTATAGTAAGGTTCCCCTTTAATGACACAATGCAAATCATCCACTGATAACATCAGTAGAGAGATCTGATACTTCATTCCGCTAATCTTCTTCCCCTCTCTGGTAGGAAAGGCAACAGGCTGCATAAGAACAGGTATTATTAGGGTCCAATAATAATTCAGGTCATAGCAGTGCATGTTAAATATACTGAGGTTAGAGAGAACCAGCAAAAGAAGCAATTCCAAGACAGGGAAATTATAAAGCTTTTCTTCTAATTTTTTTTTTTTTTTTTGCATACCTGCAGTGCTGCGGAAAGTGCATGCGGGGTAGAGATTAAAATCATAAACCTAGTTCAATCTAAGTGTATCAGTTATTCAGAGGATGTACATGATGTTTCACTTGAGATTCTGCTTTCTTCTTTGTTTGGAGTATGAATGCAAAAAATGGGTAAATTAGAGTTTAAAACGTCTGGCACCATTTAGTAAAGTAAACTTACATCCTAAATTGTCACTGGGAAATGTACACTTCTTTTTGCTGTTGTTTTGATTTAGCTGTCACGAGAGTCGTGTTTAAATACAGCCTTTTCTGCCTCATGGCCGAGTCTCTTTGTGTGCATTTTCTCAACGTTACTTACTTTACTTTGAAGGTGGGCTGAGCGTAGAAATCTGACGAAAGAGTGGGCTGTGCCCTCGATCCGAAGGAGCTCTTACATTCTTCTGAATGACTGCATTCGCTAGTGCAGTACACAGCAGCAGCAACAGTGTGGTGCTCTGGGTCTCCAGCTCTGCCTGGCAGACGAATCTCCAGCTCGCTGAACATCTGCAAGACAAATTTTTCATGTTCTTCTGTAAATGAATGCTGCCTAACTGCACCAGGAAAATGGGCACAGGGGATTATCTCTGCATTGCTATGAGTGGAGGGGCGCCTTGGGGCTTTAGATTGCAAGGTGGCAAGGAGCAAAAGCAGCCTTTGCAAATCGCCAAGGTAGGATCATGAGCGAAAGATGTTATCGGTGTTTTGTGAACACGAGTGAAGAGAATAGTTTGTTTAAATATATACTGCTTCCAGTGAAATGGTTGGTGTGGATCTTATTGTGACGCTCGTTTGAATTTACTAACATATTTTGCAGAGATTCTACAGGTGCTGATTATGTTTGCTTCAATAAAAAGGAATGATTACTTTTTGGTAGCTTGCAAGTATTGCAAACATTTTCTTAAATGTTAATGCTTTGAAATTGTGAAATGATGTATGCCTGTCAGCTCCTGTTTGATTCGCTCTATGTTTTTGAATGCACTCGGCATATCGCAAAACTTAATCTCATATTAGGAAATGCTGTTTCAGTCATCTATTCGTGATACTTTTTCTGCTCTAGGCATAGAATAAATACAGCTCTATCCTGAGAAAATGTTCTTACTATTTTTGGAATCCTGGAAAGCATTACACTGAGTTATCTCTGGTTTTGGAAAGTTATCCAGCCTTAGAAGCAGCTTTAATAGATGCCAAACATTCCCCCTTAGATTTCATGAGCAACACTGAAAATTACTGAACACTTCATAAATTATCTTCATGCAAAAAATGAGAGCAAAACAGACAGTAGAAATTCAGAATAAATAAAAAATAAGAATTGGTAACCCCAACTTGCAACAATAATAGTTAAAAAGTAGTTTTGTTAAAAATCAGTGCTCGCTCCATTGCAACAGCTTCTCCACTGGTGCAACAATGAAGATTTGTCACGGTTATTAAGGCTTATGTAACTGTATGGAGCTGCATTCTGTCTCCTAGACAAGAGGGTCAAATTTTGTCCAGAGCTCCGAGGTCAGCAAAATACCACTGGCTGAAATGATACTGGGACTGATCACCAGATGATGAATTCTGCCTCGTTAAAGTGAGGGAGAGAGATTAAAGTGTATCTTACCACCTTTTAGTATCTTGGTAATCCAGTACATTGAGTGTTAAGTTTTTTGTGCTTTGATATAGTATTTTAGATAAGTAGGTTAGCTATTTAAGCGCTAGCTTTCTTAAGCTGTCAATATATTTATTAATTAGTTAAATTTAATTTACTGGATCAGTTAACTTTTTCACAAACAGCAGGAACAGTAAGTCTACTTCATCTTATAAAAGAAGGTCCTTTTAGTTCCTCTGTCAAGAAAAGAACATCTTTCACTATTATTTTCAATGATTTCCAGCCCATAATATTAATCATATTCAGTAATAAAGCTCTGATTTATTGAGTGTATGTATAATTTTTCTCATTACTGTTAAGTTTTTTCGGTTTATATTTTGCAAAACTTGAACGTGTTTAAATTTTTTTCCTACCGATGAGCAACTGTTGCTTTGCAAGCCACTGATAATAGATGACAGTGGAATCCTGCCATCTAGTGAAAACTTGTAGCTAGAACTTAAAAAATTGCAAGTAACGGTGAAAGGCAAGTGGCCTCGATTACATAAAACCAAAAGTAAAAAGCACGGTAGTTTGAACACAAGATTCTGATTAAGCTTTAGTTTTCCTGATAAAAATGGGCTACACAATTTTTTTTTTTCATAATCACATCCTAGACTGTGGCACTTAGGTCTGGGTTCTGTTTTACCACTAAAATCTGGGACTTGAGAACTAGATACATGGTAACAGTTGTGCCTTACTTCTAATGGGAAAATCCACCAGTAAAATATATCTAAATTTAGAAAAATACTAATATGTATTTTTAGGAAAAAAATCAAAGAATTGTGAGTTTGTTTCCTTGCAAATGAACCCAATTAAAAGGCCATGTAATACAATACTTCAGAACACCCTTTGTAAGAGTACATGCGTATCAGCATCTATAAGTGTTATAAGCGTGGTGGATTGGGTGCTTTATGAGTTCCAGATCATTCATTTCTCCACGCTTAAGAGTTGGTCAGGATCAGGGAGATTTGAAAATTGACACTAGTATCTGGCTGAAAACCTGAAACTTAGAGTTGCCAGGCCACAGCTTGCTTTGGGACTCACTCTGTCGGCAGGCTTCGCCATTCTCCCCGGGGAGCCTGGGCTCTCTCAGAGGCGCGCAGACCTGGGTCTCCAGGTCAGGCACCACCGTGAGGTTGAGGCACGGCGAGGTGGGGGGTCTGCAGCTACACTGTGTGTGACCCTTTCTGGAGAGAGGCAATGTTTTCAGCTTTTATTCTGTTATCTGTGAAAACTGAATCTAATAACTCATGAAAGAATAAAGAATTACCCAACTAGCACATAGTAATTTTCCTATTGGCTGCAAAATCCAAAGGTTGTGTTTCCTAAACACAATAAAAAATGGTTTGGTTTGGTTTTCAGTTCAAGGTTCAGCTTCTCCACTGGTGCATACTAACGTAGCTCCATGGAACCAGTGGGTCATTGCCAGTTTACACCAGCCGAGATTTTGGGTCTCAGCTCGCAGGAGCTGGGAAAGCAGCAGAGGGGTTGCTCGCCTGGTTGCCGTCACAACCTGAGCACTGTATACGCCTGGACTGCTGCAGAGGGACGTGCACTTGGGCCCCGGTCATGAGCAGAGCAGTGGTTGTGATACAGATCTAAAGGGAAGAGGGATGTGAAATGGAAGGAAATGAGATAAGCCTTGAAAATGTGGCAGGATACAAAAATCCCAAATTCACACTTATCTACCCTTTTGATAAAGGAAACATACTGTTTTTAAAGCTAATGAAATAAGTCGCTGCAGTTCAATGCCAGAAGCAACTTTTACCAGTTTATGTCTTTTAAAGTATTGTTTATGACATTTATAGAAAAACACGTAAACCCTCCCCCCATTGTTTGTTGCCTAGCTCTTAAAGCATATATGCAAGTAGCATTCCCGCTAAAAGCCATGAGAGTTTTGCCTGTAGTATAAAGCATTGTCTTCCATTATCATGCAAAGTGTTAACAGAGAGAGAGAGACAAACCTTTTGCCTTCCCAAGAAATACCTCGGTATCTTTTCTCACCAGCGCATAAAATAGGAAATCTTCATCAGCAAATGATTTTACAACCATTAAATTAGATTCAAGACATTTCAGTAATTTATTAGATGTGGGATTGCAACAAATGGATTTTTTTTTAAAGTATCACAAAGTACCATTTTGTTTGTCCATTTTTAACTCTTACTCAAAATGTAAATTTTGAAAACATTTGACTCATTTTCTGGAGAGGCATACAAATTGTTTAACACCCCTCCTCCTCCCAACCCTGGCTCCATACATCAGCTTACTTTGTTATGTCCACTAACGTTGTAAATGCTTCATAAAAATTTATTTTCAGTTTAGAAGAATTTGCATATTCTATATACTGTCCACATATACCTTAATGACTTTTAAAAAATCTGTTTTAAAGACTGTGTCAAAAGACATATTGTGCTAAGCAGGATATCTAATAAATGGATGTCATTAAAAAAAAAAAAAGATAATCGGGAGTACAAAGCTAAGGAAAACAGTGGTTGTACCAGTTGTGCTGTGTATGCACCAAGACACTAAACCATGTCAGTAGTGCACTGTAGGATAGCTTTCCCAAAGCAGGAGACGGCTGGGAAATCTCAGTACAACAGTGACCCTAGATGGCTAAGAATTCAAGATATATGAAAGTAAAGTGACACGTGATGTCCTTTCTGTTTCCACTGTAAGATATATGAAAGAATGCTTTTTTAATGAATATCATAGATTCTCTTTCTTGTAAACTTTTTTGCAGTTTTTAGTTTAAAATACATAAAACCTGTATGTACAAAATAATGTATGATCTTCTGGACTGGCATTTGAAAGAAAGTCCTGTGAGTTTTTCTACTAATACTCAACAATACCAGCTATGTTATATATAATGAAGCTATATCCTGTAAGAAGCACCTCTTTTGCAACAGGTAGAGTTGTCCTATAGATGATTTAGATTTATAATTCAACCATGATGTAACTCCATTAAATTATCAGAGATACATTATTCTCAGCATATTTGTTACCTACACCAAACAGCAATTTGATGAACTCATTGTTTGTATCTGTCAAAGTCTTGCTAATTTAAGTTTGGGAACTTAACTGAATAGTTCTACTATTCCAGGGTGGTAAGTTCCATGACTCAGACCTCTAAGCACTTCAGAGGAAATTCAGTCCTCTTTTTCCTATCAATATCCTAAAAGTAAAAATGAACAGATGCTTAAAAATCCATACGATCAGTTGTGTCGTAGGTTTTCACGCTTGAGACATTGGGGAAACTAATATTATTGAGACAAGGCGCCTCACTCGTTACTGAATTCAGATCACCTCCATTCCAGAAGTACTCTGGTCTATATGTAGTATACACAGAGATATTTCTACATACATACACCTCAGCAAGAAAGATATCTTCAAAGGGGATCATATTGTCCTACTTTATATCTATGACAGCATTCATCCTGATCTCTCCTTGATTATCAGCGGCAGAATAATAAGTAGTTGCTTATGGAGAAACACAGTAGGTATTTTTTTTAAAGTGCTGACAGATTTTAGGTACTTTTTCAGCAATTTTTTTCAACTAAATTTTTAGAAAAATAAAATAGTAACATTTCCCTTCCTTTAATTTCTACCATGCCAGTTTGCCAGTGCATAACTACAGTTACAATGCCTATCCTCTAAAATGCCAACTTATTTGAAAGAACTTAATGGATATTTTGAAACTCTTACCAATGTGATTTTGCACCCTGAAAATTTTTGCTCTACTATGGACATTTTCTTATTTCCAAACATGCCAAATATCATGCAATTTTCCATTGTCTTGTAAATGTTAACTATAGTCCAAATTAATCCTATGAAATACTTTCCTAATTCAGGGTTCAAATCCAATGGCCTCAACTAGGCTTCCTGCAAAACTTACAGAGTTTGTGACTATTTTGCCAATTTCTGAAATAGACTTCTGCTGCTGCTGCTGCTGCACAAATAGTAGTTTTACCTTTGGCTCAGTAGGGACATGTGACAACTGGCTGCCTGGTCATTTTAGCCTTGTGCACTTGTCCATCAAAACGCT